CTGTATTGGTGAGAAGTAAGCCACTGGGAATGTGCTGGTGAGAATGCCTGGACAAAAGGCAGAGTATGGGTTGACCCATAGCTCACAGTAATTCCATGTTAAGACGTGGTCACAATGCTCTGTTTTGTATCAGATTCTACAGATAGATATTGTTTCTGCCACACTTGAACTATTAAACTACTCAACAGTCAGTATTTTAAGTGGAACCATGCCTGGCACTTCATAAGTTCTATATAAGTTTTCTTAAATAGAAAGTAAATAAAAGAACTTCCCAATATTCGCACTCGCTTTCTTGACATTCTTTGATGTGTCTCTTAATTTCTCACTATGTCGTTTGACGATAGGAGAACGTAAAGTAGCAGACTTGAATGTCAGTCCCAGCTCAAGAGAAAGATCTTTGTTTGACTTATAAAGAATCAAATGGTTTTATCTGTTGAGAAAGACGTTAAACATCATTTGGGTGACTGTTAAGTGAGTTAACTCTGCTGCAAATTATTCTGTGATCAAATATAGTCATCCACTGAAAGTATATTTGTCAGCTTAAGATAATAAGAACAACTTATGCAATACCTGTTTTCATATAACTAAGACTATCTTTTTATCAACTAAAAGATTGTCTTTCCACGGGTGTTTCTAGGTGTAATTGTGCAATAACTACACAATCGGATATCTAAGCGTGCTTTTATACCAAATCATTCCCAGAATCCATCATCTGTGGTCGGGAAACAACGCCTCTGTTCTTCAGGTGGATTTCTAGATGATCAAGCCCAAAGGAGGAGCCACACCTAGCGACGGCTGGTTTCTTGCCCACTAAATCCAGGCTCCAGGCACTCTCCCATCAGCCCACATTATCTCACTCACCTTCGTTCCACACACATTAGGAAAGGAGGATGGGCAGCGGGTTCAGAAAGGCTCACAACCAAAACATACTATGAAATGGAACTCAAGGTCTCTAATGAGACGGACACACATTTACTCTGAGGTGGCTATGCTGCTGACTGAGGTGTCATGAATGTCTTGTATATGCAACGGGACGGTTAACTGGAAGGAAGTTATATTTCCCAATATGAAGTGCCTGTGTGGGTATATTTCTTTGTTTTATATAATGCAGGATGATCAAAGAATACAAGAAAAAAAGCTACTCTGCCCCATAGAAATTCACTTTCCCTTTCTGAGACTGTTTTCATTCTTCTCCTTCGCAGCAATTGAAATATGTGGGAGAGCAGAGTTGTGACTCAAGCCCATGCCAGAGTCCAGGAGACTTCTAAGACCCTAGAGATGCCCGAGGACCAGGGGCTTGTTAAATGAGAGTTGGCCATGAATTAGAGTAAACTCTGGAGTGACAAGACCAATTAAGCCAAAACGCACCCAGTTCTGCCCACCTAGGGTGAGGTGCAGAGCTCACCCAAACAGGGTGTTGCAGCCTGTAACAGCCCCCAGGGAGCAAGGATGGGCTGAGTAGCGTGGGGAAGTGTGTGTTTCATCTCTAAGACCAAAGAGCCAGGGGCAGGCCCAGGAAAGAGTCATCGTCTTTGTAGTAGACACATAGGATGAGCAGGTGGATGAACAGCACTTAACACTTGTGTCAGTAGAGTCAAGTCTGTGATGGAGACGTATACTGATGAAAACACACAAACGGAGCACCAGTATCTCAGAGAACCCCAGCAGAGCCTTGCTGTCCTCTGGCTTCTCCAGAAAAGGGAGCGCAGGTTTGGAGAGGCGTGGCTCCTCAAAGAAATCTTTGACCTCACTATGGAGCAAATGTGGCCACTTCTCTCTGCTCCCCAGTTCCTGTTCTTTCAGCCAGAGCTCACTTCCTGGCAGATCAGTGGCCTGCTGGGAGTCTGTGAAAAGAAAATGCAGTCTTCTCCTCCTGAGTAGGGAAAAACACACCTCTCCAACTCCCTTCTCCCTGTGCTTCTCCCTGACTTTCACACAGAACACTTCACTGCTGACACTTAAATGCTCCCCAGATGTGGTGGGGGGGAAGTTTCCCCACCCCAAGCAATTCTCCACGATACCAGCTGGCTGTCCTCCAGTTTCACTCGATTCTGACACTCCGGTGGCAGAACCCACAAGTTAAGGGCTCAGTCTCACGAGACTGCTCCCACCCCACTTCAGATGCAAATCACAAAGAGCAGGCCCCGACATTCCCCACAACTTAGATCGGATTTGCTACAAATCCGAGGTAGCCACAACTCCTCCTCGGGTTCCACTGACTTGCTAGAGGGATAAAAGAATTCAACGAAACCCTTCCTTCCACTGACCAGTTTATGAAAGGATATGAGAAAGGGTATAGATGAACATCCAGATGAAGAGATCCAGTGGGCCACGTCTGGGAGGGTCTTGAGTGCAGGAGCTTCTGCTCCCATGGTCTTAGGGTGTGTCACCCGCCTGGAACACAGATATGTTCACCCACCTGGAAGCTCCCTGACCCATGTACTACTGACATTTTATGAAGGCTTCCTTATGTAGGCATGCTCCATATGAACTCCATTTTCAGCCCTTCTCCCTTATCAAGAGAATGGAGGAGGTGAGACTAAAAATTCCAAGCTTCTACTCACGGCTTGGTCTTTCTGGTGACCAGCTATCATCCAGGAGCTATCCAGGAGCCCACCTAGAGTCTCCTCATGAGAACAAAAGACAGTTCTTTCACCCAGGAAGTGACAACGGTTTCAGGAGGAGTGTGTCAGGAACCAGGGTCAAAAACCAAATACTAGAACCAACGATGCCCCTAGTGCTGTTACTTCTGAGGAAATTCCAAGGGTTTCAGGAGCTCTGTGCCCAGAACTGCCACAGAGGGGCCAGAGACCAATGCATATGATCTCACAGAGCCATACTGGAAGGTGACTCCTTGCATTCCAAAGCCTGATTTTCTACGTCAACATGACACCCACCACTCAGTCCCTCGGCAAACAAAGCAGAAAATCAGGACTCATCAAGCTCCCTGCTGGTCCTAGTTGTCCACACTGGCATTCTCCATGTCCCCCAGCTACTGTAGCTGTTCACACTGGGGACTGTCGTGCACCACGGAAATTATCCCGAAGGGTGAAGAGGCTGTAGACAGATGAAAACAACAGCAGATACCATAGGCATGCTCTTGCACATGTGCCTTGACGAGAATATAGGCGAATGCACTGAAATGCTCTCATTCCCGTGAATGCCGTGTGAAACTCTGTGACTTACAGAGAACAGACATTCTGTTCAAGCCCCTATTCCAAGGAGTCAGAAAAATTAACCACTTAGTCATCAGAAAGGACAATCCCTAAGGGAATCCCCACTTCAGTTCCCCCTGCCAAAACATGTCCAAGGGTGTCACCAGGGAATTCCTCTAGGACTCAAAGTGCCCTCTCTAAAAGGTACAGGCAAGACGTGAGGCTTCAAGGGCCTGGACGGGGTAGGAGGGGGAAGGTAAGGCCTACTCCAAGAAGGAGAATATTTGTAGGGCACACCATGGAGCCTGGAAATGGCTGCTGAACACTGGATTCAAACCCGGACCGTGGACTTGGCCCAAACGTCCACTCTAAAGATCAGAACTTTAGCTCACCTGACCCAGGCCTGGCGTCTGGCTGGGCCACACATGGGTCCAAGATCTAGAGAGTGAAGACTGTCTAATTTAGGCAGAGTGAGAAGTAATTTGGTCAAGACAGCATATGAAACATTCAAAGAAAATGAGAATGTGCTTAGTTCCTAAGTTTGAAAGTACTAAATTGGTCTGTGAAAAGATTTGTGGGTATCAGTACGTGTGTGTGTGTGTGTGTGTGTGTGTGTGTGTGTGTGTTTACGTACAGCAAGTCCCATTAGGCTTGGTGAAGCTTTGCTGACTTTAGAAGTGTAAATGCTACCAACATAAAATACAGCATTTGGAGATTTAATGACTTACATTTTTAACATGCTTATTTTAAATAATAAATCATTTGTTTGAATTTTTGTGTCGTTGCTTTTGAGTGAAGATTGCAAAGGTTGATGGAAACGATAACAACTTAAATACTCAAAATTAAAGAAGTATAAAATAAAGTTCAACTTCTGGATTGACGACACCAAAGAACTTGTTCTGTGGAAAAACGGAGCTGTGATTGGAACAACATGGAAGAAGCTGAAGGACGTTATGCTCAATGAAAGAAGCTACACAGAGAAAGACAAATACTGCATGGGATCAATCATGTGCGAATTATAAAATAAAGAAAAAAAAAGGTTAACCTCATAGAAACAGAGTAGAAAAGTGGTGGCCAGGAGCTGGCTGTGGAGGATAAATAGGGAGAGGCTGGTGAAAGGCTACAAACTCTCAGCTCGGAGACGAAGAAGGTCTGAGCATCTACAATATGAAACGGTGACTGCAGTTGATAACACTGAATGGAGTCCCTGGAATCAGCTGAGACGCCAGCCCAGAACTGTCCCCCCCCCACACACACACACACAGAGTCAAGATGGCAGGTGAAAACAACAATGGGACTGGAGGACAGAGGAGAACGTGAGAGGAGAAATCCCTGGGCAATACCCAAATTCCTGGGAGAACTTCCCACTTGAAAGGCTAAGAAATTGGTGGGTTCAAACCACGATCTCCAGGAGATCCAGGGAACCAGGTGATACCCGGCTTCCAGGGGGAAAGAATAGAAAGTCAACTAAGGTCTAGAAGGCTTAGGACAGAGGCCTGGAGTTGTAGGCTGGATGGTGGGGGAGGGGCTGTGGTCCAGCCCGCTCCCCTTCGGTCCCCTCCCCAGCCCTCAAGAGCCCTTTGTGACAGGGCCACAGGTCTGTCATGGGTGCCTGGGGTAATCATCTCCGGGCCACTCCCAGAGCTCAGTTGCCTCAGGGCAGCACTGCACTCCAGACATGGAGAATCCTCTCTGGTTTCTGAAAAGCACTCTCGCCACCTGGCTGAGCTCCACTTCCACTTCCTGGGCGATGGATACCATCCTCGCCTTCTTGTGTGGACTGGGGCTCGTCCTCATTTTCCTTCCCTCCCTCCGCAGGAATCCATCCTTATGACCCCTGCTGAAACGGAGAAACGTCAGGAAGGTAAGAAAGCCTTGGCTGAGACCCAATAGAAGATCATTCTCTCTTCCTCTCTACTAGGGTTTCCACTTTTATGAATCAATTCGAGGGGCTCTGTGGATGGGAAAGAATAGAACAGCATCCTTCTAGGGACGAGCCAGGCCTGGCAGGCAGGAATTAGAGTGGGCACAAGGATGTCCATCCCGAGGTCTCAGAGCAGGAGTCCAGGGCACAGGCCCCAAAGCAGCGACCGCAGGCAGAGGACTGGACACTGGGTTGGATCTGTGTGCGAGCACAGGCCCTGAGGACTGCTTCCCCAGCCCCATTCCCCTGGAGGAGATCACGGGCGAGCCATCCTCTGTCGGGGCAGATGTGAGGGTGGTGCTGAGCCCCGAGAGCCTCCAGGCAGGGGCTGGAGTGGGGCTCCGGCCTCGGGCAGCAGAGTCCTCCCTGAGAAAGCTCAGAGGCATGTGTAGGTCAGACAGCGTGCGTGTTCTTGAACAGAGGAACAGTGGTGGGAGCAATCCATGGTGGGGTTTCACCTGGAACATCCTTCCTGATGTTCCTCAAAGAAGGAACACACAAAACACCCATTCTAGGTTCAGTTATCCACTTTCAAAAGGAGTCGAAAGAAAGAACCACCACAGAGCTCCAGGAGTTCAAGGTAGAAAGTCACCTTGCTCCTGATCGCTGAGCTTCTGCCCCTGGTCTAGAGAGAGCACAGGGAGCCTTGGCTCTGAGCCCCTGGAGTTGTTTGTTTGTTCTCACCTCTCAGCCTCAAGTGGAGCCAAGGGGGAGGGGCAGCAGGAGTCGGAAGAAAAGTGGAGCTCTGCAAGGTAAGCCTCTGCCATTCAGCCCTGTGCCCCGAAAGCTGGCCGCCATCTCTCCTGTCCCTGAGCGCCCAGCTTCGCGGCCTCCCAGGAAGCGGGGGCCAGAGCATGTCCCTCAGGAGGCAGAGACCTCTGGGAGGCTCCCGGGAAGGAGAGGAGATCTCAGACACTTGCCAGTGTCTGTGCCTGTGCCGGGAAGGAAGCCCCAAGCCCGCAGGGACCGGGCAATGGAGGATGAGTAGCAGGGGCCTGTGGGCTGTAGCGGACGCGGAGGCACTTGGTCAATGACAAACCTCAGCCCATCGTGCGCCTTGCCGTCCGCCTCGGGGATCACGTAGCCTTGGACTATGCTGCCTGGGCTCAAGAGTCGGCCCTCCCTATGGTCGCCCCTAAAGGGACATCGCAGGCAGCCTCGGGTAAGAGCCCTGGGCCCCTGTCTTCAGCACCGTGACCCGGTCTCCTGGTTTCTAGCTTACAGACAAGGCCTGAAAGCACTGGCAGAAGCTTGCGGGCTGACTTCCCTTCTGCAAAGGTGAGAATCTTCCCCTTCTCTCCTGGCTGCTTCTTCCTCCCAGAGCCTCGGAGGTGGCCCCAGGGCTGCAGGCAGCTGCGGGGCTGAGCTGGGAGGGGGACCATGGCCACAGGGGCTGGCTAAGGGCCTGGGGGGAGGGCGGGCGGCAGAACTTTGTGAAGTGAGAGTGGGGCCCGGGGAGGGCCCTGGGCCTCAGTGGCCCCCTGCCTGGCCTGCCCAGCCTGGCAGGCCCCTCAGACCCTGGCTGCAGCTTGTACCTCCTGTCTCCCGCGGCGACCCGGGCAGGCTGCCTTCCAACGGTGCCTGTCATCGGCTGTCCTGTCCACACTCCCCTGGGGACGTGTGGAAACCAGCGTCCGCCAGAGCCCAGCAGCCATGCATGGAGCCCCTGGAAGACGCTGTTCACGCCGCGTCTCCAGCGCTTTCCCCGGCTCCTCTGACCGAGCACCCTCCCCCTCCACCGGGCTGCACCTCTGGAGGGGCCCACTCAAAAGCCACCTCTGTCACCGTCTTACGAAAACCTCCTCAGCCCCCAGCGGGGGAGAAACAAAACAGGCTCCAAACTCCAGAGTCCCTTCCTAGCCTGGCCCTTCCCCTCCCTGCTCCGTCACCAGCCTGGGAGAAAATCCAGAAGGACCTGGGAGGGTCCCTAACTGTGGGCGGCCAGGGACCCTCCGGGGCCCCTCCGACTGGACAGGTGGGCAGGCCGCCTCTTCTGACCATCACACGCAGGCTCATGGGCGGAAGCTGGCAGAGCGGCACCGGAGTCGGGGCTGAGCGAGGCCGTCGAGGCTGGAAAGCAGGTTCCTCCACGGCCAGGACTGAGCCAAAGAAGGAGAGTCGGGCAGGGACCTCCCCAGACCCTGCTGTGGGGTAGCAGGCCTGGAGGGGAGCTCAGCCTCCCAGTCTCCCACAGCTCAAGGGGCCGGGGCTCTTGTGCAGGCCAAGGAAGCCCTTCTCTGGTACCTCACCTGGAGATCCACACTGCCGGCCCCCTCCAGAACCCGTAATGTGCCTGGGAGAGATCCAGTGTCTCCAGGGTCCCGGAAAAGCACCTCTCCACCCACACATTCGGCCGCAGCTGCCCAAGAGCCTAAGGAGCTGCGCCTTCCAACAAAGCTCGCGAGCCAGCTGGAGCTGCCAGGGAAGCTCCTGGCCCAGAAGCAGCCTCAAGGCCGTGCTGCCGGCATGCTCCTTCAAGACCCTCCTACTCATGGTCTCCATGCCACGTGGTCTCCAGGCCAGGTGCCACATGCCCTCCCATCAAGGGCACGGAGGAGCCAGGGGCAGCAGCAGCCCAGGAGACCAAAACGGAAGGCCCCGTGGAAGAGTCAGCTTCCCCCGATTGAGGAGATGGAGGAGGAGATGAGTCCCGGACCGGGAGGGGATGAAGAAAGACTCGCAGGACCGAGGGCTTCCCAAGCCAGCAGGACGAGCCACCCTCCCCAGGTCGGGGGACTAGGAGACACCCTTGGGAGCAAATGCCTCCAGCTTCTGCCACACAAGGCACCGGTCTTGCCAGAAGGCCGCTTCACTAAAGGCCTGAGCCGCTTTCTGCCATGCCTAAGGCCCAGCAAGGAAGACCAAGAACCGGCAGATCCCCTTCCAGAAGGCAAGCCTGCGGCAGCCACGCCCCACAGCCAGGAACCTGGCAGAAACAGCTCGGCCGTGGATGGCAGGGCTCTGGAAGCTCAGCAGTCGGGGACGTCCTTTGGACGGGCCCTGCGAGAGAGACTGGGCCTTGGCCGAAGACTTCGTGCCTCCCTGTCAAGGCAACGCAAAGGCCGATTTCTGGCCTGGCTAGCTGGGCTCTCCTGCTCCCACGGGGTTCCCTGCCTCCCACACCAACGAGAGTGAGGATCCATGACAGTCAGCAAGCCACCCGCAGGGGCCACGGCTGTCCTAACAAGAGTGATTAGAGGAGACGCTGGCATGGCAACTGGACCTTGCCACCCAGGGAGCCGCGGACTTTCCCACAATAAACGTGTCTTTTTGGGACAGGTGGTGGCCTCTGTCTGTGCCCTTCTCGGGGAAGGGACAGGACCTGGGTCTGCCCTGCCTGAGGGTCTGCTTTGGCTTCCAGAAGGGGCGGGGCTGTGGAGGGAGGCGGATCACAGCGTGGCCTACCCACTCTCACCCTGATTCCCTCACTGCGCCGGAAGTTTCCATCATGCCCTCATGACAAAGACAAATGGAAGCCTTTAGGATCCTTGAAGACAAGCAAAAGCTTTAAACACCCAGCCCAGGATGGGGCTCAGCCTGTCCTCTCCTGTGTTCTCTCTCCCTTGAACTTGTGGGGCTGTGGGGAAGGCGTTTGCACAGGCTGAAATTCCCCCTGAGGCTCCGGGAAGTGTCAGAGACACATTCACACGTCCCAGGGTCCGGAGGGGAGTCTGGGGGCAGTGCCAGCCCCTAGTCCAGAGAGGGGAGACACCTGGCCGCTCACTCCCAGCTCGTGGTGGGACAAGAATGACGCCTGCCCCAGGAGCTTCTTCTCTCCCGGGTGGAGCTGGATGGAGAAGGGCCTGTGGACCCCTCTCAGCTCAGCGTTGCCCTCCCTCGGTCCCTGTCCCACTCTGGAGCAGCAGCACCGAGGAGGAGGACTGTGCTCAGGCTCTGAGGGCGGGCGCGTGGGGAGCACGGAGGCTGATTCGGGGGCTGTCCCCTCTGCCCCAGAGGAGCGAAGGGCCCTGCTCTCCTGCACCTGCCTTCTCCTCCTGGGGAAAGCAGCTGGGTTGGGACTGTGGTGTGGTCACCATCTGATGGTGGGACACTGTGCGCCTAGGGTGCGATGTGGAGGAAGGAGGCAAAGTGGCACCACACTTTCCCATTGACCTACTGAAGGACATTTGGGGGGGGGCACAGAGTTTCACTACGAGAAAGAGAGCTGCTAGGAACTGCCTGTGAAAATTTTTCGCGTGAACATAAATTTTTATTTCTGGATGGGAACCATCACCTGCAATGGAAAAGGAAGGTTTGCCAATGGGCACACCTCCCAGGATCTTAGAAAGAAATGACACATGCACATAGGACTCAAAGTGGTTGAAAGGTTGAAACAGGCCAGAGAGAGTAAACCTCCTCCCCTGGCATAGATTGGGAGCAATTTCCCAAGGAAACATCCATTCTCTAATGCCCTAGAGAGCTGCTGAGGAAGTGGCCAGTAACTGGCCGTCACCTACAATAGAACACCATCAAACGATTCCCACAGGAGACCAAAGGCAGTGCCACTGTCAACAGCTCTGTTCCTCTTCCTCTCCAGAGAACACTATGCCCCCTCCTGTTCTTGAGATGCTTCTAGCTGTCTCTTCATTTGTCCCTGCATCTTTTGATGATAGGAGACCATAAAGGAGCAGCCTTGAATTTCAGTCCCAGCTCAAGGAAAAGGTCTTTGTTGGATGTGTAAAGAATCAAGTGGTTTTCTCTGTCGAGAAAGACGTTAAAGATCATTTGGGTGACTGCTGAGAGAATTAACTCTGCAGCAAGTTATTCTGTGATCAAACATAGTCCTCCATTGGAAGTATATTTATCAGCTTAAGGGAGTAAGCACAATTTAGACAATCCCTGTTTTGGTATAACTAAGACGACCTGTCCAGAGGTGTGTGTATGTATAATTGTGCAATGACTATCAAATGGGACATCGAAGCGCGCTTGTGTAACAAAGGCTTCCCAGAATCCATCATTTGTGGTCGGGAAACGATGCCTCTGTTCTTCAGGTGGATTTCTAGATGATCAAGCCCAAAGCAGGATCCACGCATAGTGACGGCTGGTTTCTTGCCCACTAAATCCAGGCTGGGTTATCTGTGTCAGAAAAACGTGGTCGTCCCCTCCTGAGTAGGGAAGAACTCACTTCTCCACCTACTGTGTGCTTCTCCTTGACTTCACACAGAACACTTCACTTCTGACACTTACTGTCTCCAAATGGGGGGTGGGGGTAAGGGAGACATTTCCCCACCCCAAGCAATTGTCCACCACACCAGCTGGCTGTCCTCCAGTTTCACTCGATTCTGACACTCCAGCATCAGAACGCACAAGTTAAGGGCTCAGTCTCACGAGACTGTTCCCACCCCACTTCAGATGCAAATCACACAGAACAGGTCCCCAGGTTCCAACAACTTCCATCTGACTTTGCTACAAATTGGAGTTTCCAAGACCCCTGCTCAGGTTCCATTGACTAGCTAGAGCTGCTTGCAGAATTCAAGGAAACACTTCCTTCCGTTGACCAGTTTCTTCAAGGATATGTGGAAGGGTACAAATGAACATCCAGATCAAGACATCCAGTGCGCCAGGTCTGGAAGGGTCCTGAGGGCAGGAGCTTCTGCTCCCATGGTCTTGGGGTGTATCCCCCCTGGAACACAGATGTGTTCACCCACCCGGAAGCTCCCTGAACCGGGTACTACTGAGGTTTTATGGAGGCTTCCTTATGGACGCCGGATCCATACTAACTCCATTTTCAGCCCTTCTCCCTTCTCAAGAGCATGGGGGTGGCGGGTGGGGGGGGACTAACACTTCCAGTCTTCTCTCATGATTTGGTCTTTCTGGTGACCAGCCCTCATTCAGGAGCTATCCAGGAGCCCTCATTAGAACACAAGACAGTCCTGTCCCCTGGGAAATGACAAGGGTTTCAGGAGCATTGTGTCATGAACCGGGGTCCAAAACCAAGTAGGAGAACAAAGGATGCTCCTAGTGCTTTGACTTCTCAGGAAACTCCAAGGGTTTCAGGAGCTCTGTGCTAGGAACTGGGGCAGACACCAATACATATGATCTCGCAGAGTCATACGGGAAAGTGACCCCTTGCAGACCCAAGCCTGCTTTTCTATGTCAACAGGGGACCCACCTCCCAAGTCTCTCTGCAAAAGAAGGAGACATCAGGACCCACTACGCTGCCTCTGGCTAGAGTTGTTCACACTGGCACTCTCCATGCTCCCCAGCTACCTTACTTGTTCACACTGAGGACTGTCATGCACAGGGAAAATATCCTAAGGGGTGGGGAGGCCCTGAGCTAACACCTGTTGCCATCTTTTATTTTTTTTTTTTGCTTTTTCTCTCCAAATCCCCCCAGTACCTAGCTGTATATTTTAGTTGTGGGTCCTACTAATTGTAGCATGTGGGACTCCGCCGCAGCGTGGCCTGATGAGAGGTGCCATGTCCACGCCCAGGATCCAAACCACGGAAACTCTGGGCCGCTGAAGTGGAGCACGCGAACTTAACCACACGGCCACGGGGCTGACACCCAAAGGTGTGCTCTTGAACATGTGCACTGGGACAGTACACGCAAATGAACTCAAATGCTCTTATTCCCATGAAAGCTGTGTGAAACTCTGTGATCAACAGAGAACAGACATTCTGTTCAAGCCCACATTCCAAGGAGTCAGAAAAATTAACCACAGTCATCAAAAAGTACAATCCGTAAGGGAATCCTCAGTTCCCACTGTCAAAACATGTCCAAGGATGTAATAAGGTAATTCCTTTCGGACTCAAAACACCCTCTCTAGAGGGTACAGGCAAGACTTGAGGCCACATGGGCCTGGAGGGGGAAGGTTAGGCCTACTCCGTGAAAGAGCTATGTGCACGGCAGACTTGGAGCCCTGAAAGGGCTGCTGAAAGACTAGACTCAAACCCAGACCGTGGGCCCAGTCCCAACATCCCTGCTAAAGATCAGAACTTTAGCTCAGCTGACCTAGGCCTGGCTTCTGGGTGGGCCACACATGTGTCCACGCTCTGGAGAGTGAAGACTATTTTAGACAGAGTAAGAAGAAATAGGGTCAAGATGACATATAAAAGATTCAAAGAAAATGAGAAAATGCTTTACTCTTGGGATTGAAAATACTGAATTAGTCTGTGAAAATGTGTGTAGGGGGGTGTGTGTGTCTGTTTGTATGTACATCATGTCCCATAAGTCTTCTTGAAGCTTTTCTAATTTCAGAAGTATCAATGCTACTAACATCAAACACATCCTTTCGAGGTTTAATTATTTATATTTTTATCCTACTTATTTTAAATGATAAATCATTAGTTTGAACTTTTGTGTCATTGGTTTTGAGTGAAGATGGCAAAGGTTGATGGAAACAATAACAACTTAAATATTGAAAATTAAAGAAGTATAAGGGGCCAGCAATGATTAAAAAGGCTTGGGCTCCAGCTAAGACTTTCACTTCCACCTGCTTGAAAAGAAGGTAAGTTATGGCAGCATTTCCTACTACGTGCATAGTCGAGAATGCTTTCAGTCAGTGTGCTTACTACAAAAGTTATGAAAAACCAATTGCAAACATGTGAGGCAACATTTTAAACTAACTTTAATAGACTTAGCAGAAAATACTAAAACATAGACATAGGAAACAGACATCTCATTGAATTTCAATGAAACATATTATTTTCAAACATTTCATCTTCATATATATTTTAAATTTTTAAAGTACTATGATAAGATATATATGTTATGAAACTTACATTTTGAAACTAGTTATTTATTATTTGTTTTCTTGTTTTTTTCTATTTAATTATCATACTCAGAGTCCCCAAAGGTCTAGCACAATCTCTCTGTATCCTTTTGTATGAGTGTCTTTTTTCCAATCTATTCTCTATTCATTGTTGCTTATTAAAGAATGGTCTTTGACATATCTATTTTCAATTTCTAGAGGTTGGATGTATAACTAAATAAATCATGAGATCTTTAGATAGAAGAAATATCATCTGAGATACTCTAATTGGTATCCCATGTCATAATACAGAAAATTATTTCACCTTTCATTTATAAATAATGCCCAACTCATTCTTCACCATTTTTTCTCTTTGACAGTCCATAATTGGTCTTCGAGCGTTTTCCCTAATTCAGTTAAATGTTTCCCCCTCTTTCTTATCATATGCAAACTAGTCTGCTTTGTTTTAGCTTATCCTAAACTATTTCTATTCTGGTGTCCTCTGTGCTTTGCTCTTTCCTTGTCCTGTAACCCTTATAAGGAAAGACTTGTAATTTTCTTACTCATTTTAGTAGATGAAGGCATCTGACTACATTTCTTTCCAGCCTTAA